AAAGAGGGAAGGATCCCGGGCTTTTCTCGGAGGGTGGGAACCTGCACGCAAGGGCCGGGGACCAGGGCCAGGCCTCCCTGGCTTCCACCTGAGCCCCCATCCAGCTGGGCCTTCCCCCTCCTTGGAGGGGGTGACATGGAAGGCAGGGCGAACACAGGAGTCAGTGCCACGAGGCTGGCGGCCTCGGCCCCTCCCGTCAAGGCCCCCCCCTCCACCTGTGTTGCAGACCAGGCGCTGTGCGAGGAGGGCTGGACCAAGTTCCAGGGCCACTGCTACCGCCACTTCCCGGAGCGCGAGAGCTGGGTGGACGCCGAGAGCCGCTGCCGGAAGCACCAGTCCCACCTGAGCAGCATCCTCACCCCCGAGGAGCAGGAGTTCGTCAACAGTGAGTGCGATGGGGTCTCGGAGCCTGAGGGAAACTGGAAGCCGGCAGACTGGGACCCAACAAGGCTGTAGGGGTGGGGCAGGGAGGGCGGGAAGGGCTTCCCCAGCCTGAGAGAGAAGAGAGGAGTCTTTGGGGCCAGTGGCTCCTGCTGCACCCAGGACAGCCCAGCATCTATCAGAATGAGCCCCCTGCCCTGGCCGGTGTTGCTCAATGGATAGAGCAACGGCCTGCGGACTGAAGGGTCCCAGGTTCGATTCTGGTCAAGGGCATGTACCTCGGTTGTGGGCACATCCCCAGTAGGGAGATGTGCAGGAGGCAGCTGACCGATGTTTCTCTCTCATCGATGTTTCTAACTCTCTATGCCTCTCCCTTCCTCTCTGTAAAAAATCAATAAAATATATAATAATAACAATAAATCGGCCCCTGAGTAACCCTGTGGCTGTCACCAGCCCGTGCCAGCTGCGGGTGGTGGGCGCAGGCACTCCCGTCACACATGTGCCCCTGTCCGGACCTCAGAAGTGGGTGTTGTGCTCCTCGGAGCGCACCCCACTCCCACCACCCCCCTGTCCCCTCCGCCTCTGTGAGCTCCAGTGTCTGAGACATCCCCAGGGTGTCCCCCCCCCCAACACCGGCATCCTCTCCGCAGACAATGCTCAAAACTATCAGTGGATCGGCCTGAACGACAGGAGCATCGAAGGGGACTTCCGCTGGTCAGATGGACACTCCCTGGTGAGTTCTGCCAGGGGCCCCGGGCAGAGTGGGCGACCCTGAGGAGGAGGATAGAGACCCCAGAGAGAGACGCATTCCAGCCACATCCAGAGCAGCTGCTGTTCCAGGCACTCAGGGCAGGGGGGAAAGGGGGGGAAGGTAGGGGCATGGGGGTGTCTCGCTCATCTCGCCTTCCAACACCAGCCCAGGGCTGGACACGGTGAGCGAATGACCCCGTGAGGGAAGGAGGGGAAGGAGGGCGCAATGAATGAATGAAGGCAAACCACCCTGAGAGACGTAAGGAAGCTTTAGAGGGCGCCTTGGCCCACGAAGCACTGGCGGCGACTCAAGGACACAGACAGACAGACAGCGCCATAGTCGCCTAATGAACAACACACATAGTAAATGCTCTGCCTCTAGGAGCTCAAGTTGCTCAGGCGTCCCAGAAGGCTTCCCGGCCCGGCTGGCATGGCTCAGTGGTTGAGCGTCAACCTATGAACCAGGGAGTCACGGTTCAATCCCCGGTCAGGGCACATGCCGGGTTTCGGGCTCGATTCCCAGGACGGGGCATGCAGGAGGCAGCGTATCCATGATTCTCTCTCATCATTGATGTTTCTGTCCCTCTCTCCCTCTCCCTTCCTCTCTGAAATCAATAAAGAAATAAAAAAAATAAAAAATAAAAGCCCTAGCCAGTTTGGCTCAGTGGATAGAGCATCAGCCTGTGGACTGAAGGGTCCTGGGTTCGATTCCGGCCAGGGCCACATGCCCCGGTTGTGGGCTCAATCCCCAGGAGGGGGCATGAAGGAGGCAGCCGATCAATGGTTCTCTCTCATCATTGATGTTTCTATCTCTCTCTCCCTCTCCCTTCCTCTCTGAAATCAATA